AATAACGGTTCTCAATTTTTGCAATAGCCGCGGTACTATCGCAGTGGATCAACACAGCTGGCATAGGTTTTTCCCATACGGGAATCTCAGCTAGCAAGCATCTTAACCAACTTGCTTCTTCACTAGCTGTGGCTAGTGCTATCATTTCAGACTCCATTGTGGACTGAGCCAGAATGGTCTGTTTCTTTGATTTCCAAGATACAGCTCCTCCGGCTATACTAAATATATAGCCACTAGTAGCTTTGGAATCATCTGACAAAGTATTCCAATCAGCATCACTGTATCCTTCAAGTACAGCAGGAAATCTCTGATAATGTAAACCGAGGTTCACAGTCTTTTTAAGATATCTCATGACTCGCTCAATAGCTTGCCAATGTTCATTACTTGGTCTACTAGTAAACCTGCACAATAATCCCACGACATATGCAATGTCAGGTCTAGTACAGTCAGTAGCATATCTAAGACTTCCAATGATACTTGCATATTCTGTCTGTTTAACACTTTCACCAGTGTTCTTAAACAGTTTCATGCTTGGATCGTATGGAGTGCTAGCAGGTTTACAATCAAAGTAATTATATTTCTTTAAGATCTTTTCCACATAGTGTGATTGATCCAAAGAAATTCCTTGTTTGGATCTCGTGATCTTGATACCGAGGATTAAATTTGCTTCTCCCAGGTCTTTCATATCAAAGTTGTTGCACAACAAAGATTTCACATCATTAATAGTCTGAATGTTTGATCCAAATATAAGTAGATCATCTACATAAAGACATATGATAGTGCAAATGCGATTCTCAGATTTCTAATAAACGCATTTGTCACTTTCATTCACTTTATATCCATTTGATATCATTAAGTTATCAAATTTTTCATGCCATTGCTTAGGGGCTTGTTTTAGTCCATATAGAGACTTGTCTAACTTACAAACCTTGTTTTCTTGTCCATGGATCACAAACCCTTCTGGTTGTTCCATATAGATTTCTTCCTCTAAGTCACCATTTAAAAAAGCTGTTTTAACATCCATTTGGTGTACTATTAAGTTATAAATAGCAGCAATTGAAATAAGTACTCTAATGGATGTGATTCTAGTGACTGGAGAGAAAGTGTCGAAGAAATCTATATTTTCTCTTTGTCTAAAACCCTTGGCTACAAGGCGAGCCTTGTATTTATCAATAGTTCCATCAGGTTTTAGTTTCTTTTTCAGAACCCATTTACAACCGATCGGTTTGCAACCAGGAGGCAAGTCTACTAAGTGCCATGTCTTGTTAGAATCTAGGGATTCTATCTCATCATTTATAGCTTCTTGCCATAAATCTGCATCTAGAGATGACAATGCTGCTTGAAGATTTATTGGATCTTCTTCTATATTATAAGCCGCATAATCAGGCCCATAGTCTTTAGCGACTCTTACTCTTTTACTTCTCCGAAGTTTTGTTTCTACTTCGTTGTTGTTTTCTGTACTTCTTATCACAGGAATGTGACTCGATTGGGTGCCCCCACTATTTCTCAGTTTGAAAGGAAATTTGTCTTCATAGAATTCAACATCATTTGATTCTATGATTACTTTTGCATTTAGGTCATAGAACCTATATGCCTTACTGTTTGCTGCATACCCAATGAATACACATTCATATGCTCTACTAGCGAGTTTAACTCGTTTCGGATCCGGAATTCTGACATAAGCCAGGCAGCCCCAAGTTCTCAAATAAGACAAGTTTGGTTGTCTTTTCTTTAATATCTCATATGGTGAGATCTTACTTTTTGACTTGGGGATTCTATTCAGGACGTAGCAAACAGTCAATAAAATTTCCCCCCGCCAGTGAGGAGCAGCACCAGAATTTATCATAATTGCAACAACAAGTTCGGTAAGAGTCCTATTCTTTATTTCTGCTTTACCATTCATTTCAGGAGAATATGGAGCAGTCGTTTCATGTACAATTCCATGTTCTTTATAAAAATCATTAAATAAACCAGAATCATATTCAGTCCCCCTATCACTACGAAGTCTCTTAATCTTCTTACTAAGTTGATTCTCAATTTCAGTTACATATATCTTAAACATTTCAAGCGCTTCACTTTTATTCTTCATTAAGTATACATAAGTATAATCTGAATAATCATCAATAAAAGTGATAAAATAACGTTTATTGTTTCTAGTTAAACTTCCATCTAATTCGCATATATCAGAATGTATAAGATCTAGGGGATCAGATTCCTTATTAATTGATTTATGCGAAGTCTTGATTATTTTTGCTTGACTACAATATTCACATTTATTTGTATCATTAATACTTAATTTAGGGATTAGGCCCAAGTTGCTTGCATTATGCATAATTCGCTTATTAACGTGACAAAGTCTAGTATGCCAAATATTAAAATCACACAAAGAGTAAACAGAAGGAGAAATCTTATTAAAATCAACATTCAACTTAAACATGCCATCAGTGGCGTACCCTTTCCCAACAAAAATACCATTCTTAGTGATGGTGTACAAATCTGCCCCTAAAGTTTGACTAAACCCTGCCTTATTTAAAAGAAAACCAGAAACAAGATTCTTCCTAATTTCAGGAACGTGCATGACGTCCTTCAAGATCAAAGTCTTTCCTGAGGTGAATTTCAGCTCAACATCCCCAATTCCAGCAACCTTAGTGGTGTGAGCATCTCCCAACAACACTTTCTTATCTTCAGCATTCATGTATGTTTTGAACATAGCACGATCGTAGCAGACATGACGAGAGGCGCCAGTGTCTATCCACCAACCATCACTTCCACCGACCATGTTGACTTCAGTGATCATAGCAATGAATTGCTCATCAGTCAGGTTAACCTGAGCATTTGAGCCAACAACAGGTTTAGGCCTGCTCTTACACCTTTTTGCCATGTGACCCGGTTTCCCACAATTGTAGCAAGTGAAAACCGGAGCATCATTTCTCTGTGGTGGTGGTTGCTGCCTAGCAAGTGGAGCATTTGGGGCCCTAGAGGGATTCCCATTCTTAATTCGGTTCACAGCATTGCGGTTCTGATTCTTTAATGGTTTGCCCGTAGGCTTCAGAACCGCACCGAATCTCTTTTTGTTGTTAGAAACAACTAAGACTTCATCTTTCTGATCTTGTCTTCGAGCTTCCTCTTCAATTCGGAGGCGAGTAATCAAACTTTCGATTGAAAACTCTTTGGTTTTATGGCGAAGCATATTTTTGAAATCTTTCCAACCAGGGGGCTGTTTGTCAATAATAACAGCAATTTGAAATTGTTCATTCAGGGGCATACCTTCAGTTATGATTTCATGAGCAATTTTCTGAATTTCGTGGCTTTGAGTTTCCACAGACTTTTCATCCACCATCTTGTAATTCAAGTAGCGGCTGACAGCATATTTCTTTGCACCTACTTCTTCAGTATCATATTTCTTCTGCAGAGCTTCCCACACTTCTTTAGCACTGTTGTAATTACTGTAGTAATCGTACAGGTCATCAGCAAGACCGTTCAGAATGTGATTTTTGCATAGGTAGTCATTCTCTTGCCATATGGCAATTTCTTTTCGAAGCTGTAAATCATCTGCTGCGGCTTTGGCTTTTGCAGCAGCTTGTGCTTCAGCAGAGCTGGGAGCTTTGTCAGAAGTTACAATTGTTGCAGCATCAGTTTGTTCGGTTGATCCAGAAGGAACAACAGGGATATCCTCAGTCAGAACGTGGGCAACCTTCTTGATAGTTAAGAAAAATCTCATCTTAGCTTGCCAACGTTTGAAATGAGAACCCTCAAACTTAAATGGTTTGTCAGTGACAGCAGCGACCGCATTATTACCGATAATTTCCTCAGTAGCCATGGCAGTTAAGGCGACCGTCTTAAAATTGTTGATCACGGATTAGTGAAAACAAGAATAGCCACTGAGAATTTTATCGGGTCGAGTCGCGGTTCAGTACGCTTTCTTTAAGGCGTTTCGCCGGATGCCAACAAAGTGCAAGGCAGTCGATAATAGGCGACGTCTCCAGGATAAAACAGCCCGTTCGAATAAAATACGATTATCACTTGCACTGTGATAAATCGTTCGATGAATAACACCTTCTGATGGTGTAGAAACCACTCGCAGTATCTGGCAAGAAGCAGTCGGAAAAACAGAGAAGAGAAAAAAAAAACTTGAGATGAAGCAGAATAGAGAGAGAGAAGAGAGAATTCGAGATGTTCAATTCTGAAGTTATTTGCAAATGAAATAAGCACGGATCCAACAAAACGGTTCGAAAAAGTAGGAAGAACGTGGGAGAGGGTGGAATTGGCCCAGTCAAAAGTGACCGTTATTGCTTGGTCAGACAGTCATGCGTTTTGACTCTTGGAAGGCAAGTAATTGACACGTCACTAATTCCGTAATTAATTAATATTAAATATTAATTAATTTCCACTATTTTTAATTAATTAATGCTAATTAATTCCACCGAATTAATTAATTATTAATAATCATTAATAATTAATTTTTCACCAAAATCCGGTTTAAAAAGTTAATTCATCTAGACCGAACCGAACCGGCCGGACGGCGGCGCGCGCATCTAGATGACTTAGTGGTGTGTCCTCACTCCTTAACAAAATTGGGGTGCCCCTTGGGGCCCAACCCAAGTGTCCAAGTTGGAGTATTTATGCACTACTAAAAGTTGTGTTCCCTCCAATGTGGGACTAAAATGAATCCTTTCAAATTCACTCACAACCTAGTTCATTTATGTGCTCATTTATTGCCCATTTAATGTCAATGAATCATTCCAATTCCCAATCCAAGTTATCATCATTCCAAGATTTCCAACAAGTCTGTATTTGGAAAGTGAGCAAAGGATATCTTTAATAAATTGTCTATCTCTATAACTGATCCATCCATTTGTCAAAAGATGATTGTCCAGAAATGCATATAAACATATTTACAAAGGAAGTAAGAACAGAACAGAACTATGGTGGCAAAAATAAGCACCTTAATTAAAATCTAAATGTTGTCATAATCACCAAAATTATACATGAATCAAGTTTCATTGTGATCCTTGGGCGAGTCTATGCATCTCACTTTGGTTACCAAGAGATTCAATGAGAAGAGGTGGAGCATACTGTGCTGTCCCTTGGTGTTCTTCAGAATCTTGGCAAAATGAGAGAACAATGGTATCAATTGACATCTCCACCACTGCAAAAAATAGAGTTGCAACAGTATATCCAAGAGCCCAGCATACCTGCATTATATCACACCAAACATAAAGTAAGGTCCTGACAGTTTTAAAATTAACTCATGATGTTGAGTGTGTAATTTCATTATATTTGAGAACTTGATGTCAACTATACAATGAACTTGGTGTAAGTTTTGTCCTTATGTAGATAGTTTGTATTAGAGCTCTAAGTATTCATCATCCCATTAGTGTAAATGTATATATAATCTTGTCTCTCATATGTAAGTACATGATGAAATATAATTTATGCAATTTCTTTTCTGGTGACACATCTGTTTCTCTGGTGAGACCTTCCCCGGCAGTGCACATTGGCAATCACCTCCGAAACCATTGCCTTGCCACCTCAGCGAGCCAATTAAATTGCGCCTTGACAAAACTGTTGAATGTTGTCACAAATCACAACCTCCGATGACCCCATTTCACCTCCCCTTCTCTGCCACATGTCTTCTCGCACTGCAATCACCATTTTCCTCCCTACTTGCCTCACTCTGACCCAGTGCCTGAGCTCCGGCGAGCCGCCATGGACCGCAACTATTTTAGCTGTTCTGCTCTGTTTTCATCCGGGGACTCCTCATTCCATCTTGAAGATCAATTTTATTTGTTATTCCAAAAATAACTAGTTCCTACTCATCCAACAAGTCAATTTTCTTCTCTGCATTCTTATCTACTTCAGCCAGTGCAACAGAAAAATTAGTGGCTCCTCTAGTTTTGTTTCATGGTCTAAAGTTGTTGAAAAGTGGTGTATTGGATAGGGGTTGAAGAAGGATAAGGAAATTTGGGAACAGAATGATGCTCTAATATGTACTTTGTTAGTTTGTTATGGAAATCTACTGATCCCTTTCTTCACAACATCTACACAAACTTGAACTCTTTCTATGGGTTGTGCCGTTGTGGAATAAAGCTCAGACTCTTAAAACTAATGACATACAGTGCTAACACTCTATTGTTGAAAAATTAATCAACCTTCGTCACAAAAGGGTATCAGTGGTCAAATGGCATCTAGCAATGCTGAGTTCAATGCCCTTTTGCCAATTGGGAAGAGGGCTATTGAAGATATTGCTGATATGGACAAGTTCTTTATGGTATGTACCTTTTACATGCACGGAGTCTCATCTGCTAGGGATCAGATATTTCCTGATCCTAATGTCTATATGTTGGATGAGGTTGACACTTGGCTTCTTCAGGAAACTGATAGGGAAGTAGGCCTAGATGGGAATGCTAATGTTAAGCCCAAAGGTTTATCAAAAAAAAATGTTAAGCCCAAAGGAAGCAGCCAACTAACCGGATGTGAAAAACTAACCGGATCAGTCAACTATAACATATAGGCTCGTGTTGTCGAGATGTGGTTTCACGGTCAAAGATATGAAGAGCATCTAACTACCCAATTGAGTGACGTTGCATCCGTCAAACTCGCTAAATGGAAGAAAATTGACGCCTCTTTGTGTACTGTGTTGAGGTTTTCCATAGCACCTAACCTCCAAGAGCAGTACCAAGCATTCTTCACTTGTTATGAGGTGTGGCAAAAGGCCAAGAAAGTCTTTTCCAACGACGTTCATTCTCGATACAGTGTCATCCACAAACTCAACACACTGAAGTTGGAAAATTTGAATGTGCAAGCTTATCTGAGTAAGTTTGATGCCTTGAAAGCAAGTTACGCAACCCTGATGCCTTACGCAAAAGCAATAGCTCATGCCGAACAACAGAGTAAATATTTCATGGTCATGGTACTTAAAGGACTACCATCAGAACTCGAATCCGTTCGTAACCATATTTTATCAGGTACTACCGTTCCTAACTATGATACAGTTAGTGAACAATTGTTGCGCTTGGCTACACCTCATGCGTTTGGCCCGGTTTCTCCTCCATCTATTGCTATTCCAACACCAGGTGACACTGCTGCTCTTGCACCTCTTGGCAACAATCAGAATCGCCTTCGAGGAGGGTCATCCAACTCCAAACCTCGTCCTAAGTGTGACTATTGTAACCGGCTTAGACATACTATCGATCGTTGCTGGAAGTTTCCTGGCAAATTTCCACGGCAGGTAAATGCTGCTTAAATTGATAACCCAGACACTGCAGACTTCACCTTCTCTTCAGAACCCTACGCCAAGCTACGAGGATTTTCTCAGGTGGTGTCAGACTAACCAGACCTCTGGTTCCACTGCTTCGATTGCCCCACACTGGTAATTCATCTGTTTGAGTCTTTCAGTCATCTCCTCTTGGTCCTTGGGTCCTCGACTCTGGTGTGTCTGATCATGTTACCTGTAATAAAAATCTTTTCTCTTCCCTTTCTACCTTTGGTTTCTTACCGAGTATAACTGCCGGAAATGATTCTCAAACCCGATCCCAAGGGATCGGTACAGTTCAAATTCTACCATCTCTCTTTGTTACTTTTGTCCTATATGTACCCAATTGCCCATTTAATCTGCTGTCAGTCAGTCGTTTAACTCGTTCCCTTAATTGTTCTATCACTTTTACTAACAGTGATGTTATTCTGCAGGATCGAAGTTCGGGACAGATGATTGGCGTCGGATGTGAGTCTCACTCTACTACTTCTCTACGTCATCTACCACATGCTCCACCACAGATTCTCCACATTATACATGCGCAGTTAGGTCATCCAAGTCTTTCCAAGCTACAAAAGTTGGTGCCCAGTTTATCTAAATTATCCACTTTACAGTGTGAGTCTTGTCAATTAGGGAAATATACTCGTAGTCACTTTTCCGATCGAGTCAATAAACGGGATGCGTCCCCTTTTGCTTTAGTTCACTCTGATGTTTGGGATCCATTGCGTACCGTGTCTACTTTTGAGTCTAGGTATTTTGTAACATTTATTGATGATTTTTTACGTTGCACGTGGCTTTATTTAATGAAAAACAGATCTGAATTGTTTTCTATTTTTGAACAATTCTATCGAGAAATAAGAACTCAATTTGGTTTGTCCATTCGTACCTTAAGTGAAATGCACGTGAATATTTATCCCAACAATTTCAAACTTTTATGTCATCCAATGGTATTCTGCACCAAACATCTTGCCCTCATACACCTCAACAAAACGGGTTAGCCGAACGCAAAAACCGGCATCTTGTAGAAACCACTCAGACTCTACTTCTCCATGGTAATGTCCCTCTCAGATTTTGGGAGGATGATGTGCTCACGGCGTGTTATCTCATAAATCGCATGCCCTCATATGTCCTTAATAATAAAACCCCTCATTCAATCCTATTTTCAAACTCTCCTCTTCACCCAATTCCTCCTCGAGTCTTCAGGTCTACATGTTTTGTGCATAATCTCTCCCCTGGTCTTGATAAACTATCAGCTCGATCACTAAAGTGTGTCTTTCTTGGTTATCATCGATCTCAAAAGGGTTATCGTTGTTACTCACACACTCTGCAACGATACCTGATATCGGCCGATTTTACCTTCTTCGAGTTTGTGCCATATTTTGCGTCCACCCAAATCACTCCGGAACCCCTTCAAGAAAGTACTACCACACCTCTTTCGGAAGTCCCATTTCCCATTATCCTCCATCATTCTGGGGAACCTGTCCCACGAGAAACCCCTACGGTTGACCCCCCTCCCTGAGGTTGTACATGTCCCTGAGGTCGTACCTGTCCCTGAGGTCATTGCAGACTCTCCTCTGACGCTATCGCCATCACCGGATTCGATCCTGCAACCTGAGTCTGATCTTCCGATGCCCTTCGCAAAGGTATACGTCAAACACGAAATCCTTCTCCACATTATATTGATTTATGTTATCATCGTTTTTCCCCTTTGCAGTATACTTGTTTGTCCTCTTTATCTTTTGTTTCTATTCCTAAATCTCCAGGTGAAGCATTATCTCACCCTGAGTGGAGGCAAGCAATGATTGATGAAATGTGTGCTCTTCAAAGCAGTGGTACCTGGGAACTGGTTCCTCTACCCACTGAAAAATCTTTAGTAGGTTGTCGTTGGCTTTATACAGTGAAGATTGGTCCAGATGGTAAGATTGATCGTTTTAAAGCTCGCTTGGTAGCCAAGGGATACACTCAGATTTTTGGGTTGGATTATAATGATACCTTCTCGCCTATAGCCAAGATGACATCTGTTAGACTTCTTGTAGTCATTGCAGTCATTCGACATTGGCCTCTTCATCAACTTGACATCAAAAATACATTTTTACATGGTGATCTTGAAGAGGAAGTATATATGGATCAACCACCTGGGTTTGTTGCTCAGGGGGAGTCATCGAATATGGTTTGTAGGTTACACAAGTCTCTTTATGGTCTTAAGCAATCTCCGAGAGCTTGGTTTGGCAGATTCAGCACTGTAGTACAACAATTTGGTATAGTCCGTAGTGAAGCTGACCATTCTGTCTTTTATCGTCACTCATTCCAAGGGTGTATTTATCTTATTTTGTATGTAGATGATATTGTCGTAACTGGTAGTGATGATTCGGGAATACTCCAGTTGAAACAACATCTTTCGAATCAATTCAGACAAAGGATCTTGGTAAACTCCGATATTTCTTGGGTGTTGAGGTAGCTCAATCTAAAGATGGTTTGGTGATTTCTCAGCGGAAATATGCTATGGATATTTTGGAAGAAACAGGTTTGTTGAACGTTAAACCAGTTGATACTCCTATGGATCCAAGTGTCAAACTACTACCCAATCAGGGGGAGCCTCTTTCAGACTCGGGAAGGTATAGGAGATTGGTTGGAAAGTTGAATTATCTCACAGTCACTCGTCCAGACATTTCTTTTGCAGTCAGTGTGGTAAGTCAGTTCTTAAATTCCCCTTGTCAGGAACAAATGGATGTTGTTATCTAGATTCTAAGATACATCAAATGTGCTCCAGGAAAAGGTTTAGTGTATGAAGATAAAGGACATACTCAGATAGTTGGATACTTTGATGCTGATTGGGCAGGGTCACCAATTGATAGACGATTCACCTCTGGGTATTGTGTACTTGTTGGAGGAAACCTTATATCCTGGAAAAGTAAGAAACAAAATGTAGTTGCAAGATCAAGCGTCGAGGCAGAGTATAGGGTCATGGCAATGGCAACATGTGAACTCATTTGGTTAAAACAGTTGCTCAAAGAACTTAAAATTGAAGAAGCAAGACCAATGACACTTGTATGTGATAATCAAGTTGCATTGCATATTGTTTCAAATCCAGTCTTCCATGAGAACCAAACATATTGAGATAGACTATCACTTTGTCAGAGAGAAGATTGAATTTGGCGACATCGTCACAAGCTTTGTCAACTCTAATGATCAATTAGCAGATGCCTTTACAAAATCTCTGCGAAGCCCCGGAACTAATTATATGTGTGGCAAGTTTGGCGCATTTGACTTATATGCTCCAGTGTGAGGGGGAGTGTTGATATTTGTAAATATAAAATGTTAAGAATATTTGTATGTAGAATAGTCCCACGTCGATTATATCGTGTAATTAATTGTA